CTCGTACGCACACCACTCGTCTTCTCATCATCTGGCTGTCGCACACCACTCGTCGTCGTCACTTATGTTTATGACTCTATGTTATATATTTAAGACGTTATGGCTTCATTTTATTTGTATTTTTTAATTTCATTTTAAAATGTGTTGCTTATTAAATGGATTATACGGATTGGGTTCGTCCCACCGACCCACGAACTCATATACTTATACGAGTTATATAGATTGGATTGGGTTGATGTTTTCAACCCACCAACCCATATATTATATGGGTTAGGTTGGGTTGGGTCAATATATTATGACCCGCCAACCCGCCAACTCAAACCCAACCCTATTGTCAGGCCTAGCGATCAACCACTAGTGTTTTTTACTCTTTCATTTTTTAGGGAAACATGTGGTTTTTTAGTTTTAGATTCGTCGTTGCTAAGCTTTTAACCTCCTGTAAAGGCTTTAAAAGAATAAGTGAAGGAAAGCCTTAAAGCCTCACAAAAATGCTCTTCATCTCACCTAGAGGTGTACAATCGGTTTTTTTCCGAACCGGTTCGGTTCAAGTCAACACCGGTTCACCCTTAAACCGGTTCGGTTTCAAACTGGTTCACCATCAAATTTATCCGATCCTATACAAACCGGTTCGGTTTAGTGAAAACCGGTTCACTTCAAACCGGATCATCTTAAACCGGTTCTTCAAACATGTTAAAAAAAAACGGCAGAAATTGTATATTTTTTTGATTGTTTGTTTTATTTTTTGGGATACTATAGGTTACATAAAAAAACATCTTCAAACATCTCGAAAAACCAGTTCATAATTGGTTCAAAAACCGGTTCATAATCGGTCCAAAACCGGTTCGGAAGTCCGGTTCATTGTAAACCAGGTCGAAACCAGTCCCGTCGTTCGGAAATACAAATTGGTTCAAACCGCCGGTTCGGTTCGGCATCGGATCGGTTCTAGTTTGAACCGGTTCAGAGGTGAACCGGTTTTCGGTTCGGATCGTGAACCGGTTTTTTTGTGCACGACTAATCTCACCTATATGGGAAAAAAATTGCCAAGTTGCAATTTACCCCTTCCAGAATTTCCAACAATTAGCATAAGACATACCATCTCATATAAAGATGGTATCATTTTGATTATGATGTTGATGTTCCATAACGTGTACGAGATTCATGCACGGAAACCTTTCTCCCAAACTTTATCTTAGTTGCAAACATTCTAAAATTTCTGATCCAAGTGTCACAAAGACGTGTAAATAGCTTCTCCATGTCGTTGATACGAATATACTAAATAAAAACCAAATCGCTTCCCAATTTTAATTTGATTGAGATTGGCCGCGTATTCGACTAGTATATGAATTATCATTCGAAGTCCACTGTTTTAGTTTAAATTTTATTATTATTATCATTATTAGTTTAGCTTACCCCATAATACACATAAAAAGATTAAATAATTTGATTATATTTTAACAAATTATATCCATTATTAGAGAGAGAAGTTGGTTTTTAGAAATGTGTGAAAAATACACATCCACATTTTTTAATTGGTTCAAAAAAAGTCCAGCATTTTGTCCCTTTGTTGCCAATCACCCATCATGTAGGGTAACCTCACTACACTTCATTAACCACTCTATAAAAAATAATTTTAAAAAATCTTAAAATACTTATATAAAAAGTAAAAATCACCGATAAAGATCATACGAAAAAAAATCAATCAACCAACAAAACAGTAAAGAGTACAATCGAAATCGCATCACATAGCAAAACGACAACAAAAAGTGAGACTTTACCGGTTTACTCCTCCACGACGCCGTCGTATTCCCCTTCCTCCTCCTCCTCCTCCTCGTCCTCCACCGTAGCATCTTGGTATTGTTGATACTCCGCCACCAAATCATTCATGTTACTCTCCGCTTCAGTGAATTCCATTTCATCCATTCCTTCACCGGTGTACCAATGCAAGAACGCCTTCCGCCTAAACATCGCGGTGAACTGCTCGCTCACTCGTCTGAACATCTCCTGAATCGAAGTCGAGTTTCCGATGAACGTCGAACTCATTTTCAGTCCGGTCGGTGGAATGTCACAGACGCTGGATTTCACGTTGTTTGGAATCCATTCCACAAAGTACGATGAGTTCTTGTTTTGAACGTTCATCATCTGTTCATCCACCTCCTTCGTGCTCATCTTCCCCCTGAACATGGCGGACGCCGTCAGGTAGCGTCCGTGACGTGGATCTGCGGCGCACATCATGTTTTTGGAGTCCCACATTTGTTGAGTCAGTTCTGGAACGGTGAGTGAGGTGTATTGCTGGGACCCACGAGATGTGAGAGGTGCGAAACCGACCATGAAGAAATGGAGACGAGGGAATGGGATTAGGTTAACTGCTAGCTTCCGGAGGTCGGAGTTCAGTTGGCCGGGAAACCTCAAACAGCAAGTTACGCCGCTCATTGTTGCAGAGATCAAGTGGTTGAGATCACCGACTGAAAAGCAAAATGAACAAATAAAAGGATGTATCGTAAACGAATTGATGAAAAAACGAACTTACAACTTGGATTGCTGAGTTTCAATGTTCTGAAACAGATGTCGTAGAGTGCTTCGTTGTCGAGAACCATACATTCATCGGCATTTTCGATCAACTGGTGCACCGAGAGTGTTGCATTGTAGGGTTCAACAACTGTGTCAGAGACTTTTGGTGAAGGAAAAACTGAGAACGTAAGCATCATTCGATCGGGATATTCCTCTCTGATCTTCGAAATCAAAAGTGTTCCCATGCCGGAACCCGTACCTCCTCCGAGCGAATGGCAGACCTGAAAACCTGCAAAATTGGATCAAATAAAAATCACACAAAGCAAATTCAACATGAGATCAAACACGAACACACAACTTATGACGATTTACAGTTTTACACACAAAAATTCATATCAAAACTGATGTCGGTAAACACAAAAAATGTGTTTCGAAATGATTAGTATCTAGAGATCGGGATTCGAATTGTATACGGAGTGAAATATTATGATATATATACCTTGCAACGAATCGCAATTCTCAGCCTCCTTACGAACAACGTCGAGAACTGAATCAATCAACTCAGCGCCTTCAGTATAATGTCCTTTAGCCCAATTATTTCCGGCACCGGATTGCCCGAACACAAAGTTATCCGGCCGAAAGATCTGCCCATTGGGACCAGATCTAATACTCTCCATAGTCCCAGGCTCGAGATCCATAAGCACAGCCCGAGGAACATACCGGCCACCGGAAGCTTCATTGAAGTAAACGTTGATACGTTCAAGTTGTAGATCAGCAGTGGTTCCACTGTAACTTCCGGTGTGATCAATGCCGTGTTCATCACAGATAACTTCCCAGAACTTTGTACCGATTTGGTTGCCGCATTGTCCTCCTTGGATGTGCAAGATTTCTCTCATGATTTCTGGAGAAGATGATGCGAGAAGGAGATTGCGGTTGGATATATAGAGACGAAGGAACTGATCGATAGATCTAAAAGCGGTGAGAGAGAGAGAGAGAGAGAGAGAGAGAGAGAGAGAGAGAGAGAGAGAGAGAGAGAGAGAATCGGAGTTGAAAGGATCGTGGATGATGGGGGTTGACGGTGGTAGGAAATTGAGGGCCCAAATGGCGCCAGGGTATTGATATTGAAAATGCTTTTCAGGTTTAAAACTTTCCCTAATTGCAACTCTCACCCCTCAACTATTGTTTTCTCCACAAAAGATCATGTTTGAAAAAATATATTTATAGAATGATTGATAAATTGGGAATATTATAAAGATCCAATTCCCGTTAATAGAATAAAAATATTTATAGAATGAATAAACTGAGAAAATATGTAATAATAGTAAAATCGTTTTTTATTTATAAAGATCACACTCAATCTCGTGAATGTAGGAGACCAATAGGGATGATCCAACTACTTGAATGGTAAAAGTAAAACAAATGAAGAACTAAAGTTAGTAATATGTAAAGTCGGTGGAATCATACTGAACATGTCATAAATACAAGGTGTCATCAACGTGTGTTGATTGTTCACTCTAATATTAAATTATAAAAAGCTTAGTGAAATTAATCAATCATTGTGGATAAAATAAATAAAAGAAGATTTACTATTTCTAAAGATTATAAAGACAGTATGAAAGTAAAATATAAAGACGGTATATATTTAATATATACATATAAAATCAATTTCTAATTAAAGAAACCATATGATAAAATAAATTCGTATTGGCAATTTGACCCATGGCCTGCCGCCTGCAGCCTGCCTTTGAACTTATTCGGTGGCTAGTTTGTAAATAAACAATAAACAAAATGCTTCATATTCGAATTGCTAGATTATATAAAAAAGTTATTTACTAATATTAACATGCCATTTTTATAAATGTGTCATTTTTATGTTAAAGTTAAACGACTTAAATCTACAATTCATCATACAAATGAAAAAGCATATTTACCAAATTCTGTTCAAGTCTTTAACTACTTGATTCAACATTACAAACATATCATCACGAATAAAATCTGGAAATAAAAGACAATTTTTAAAAACAAATATTATTTATACGAATAATACAAGAAACTGAAGTAAATATTGAATATCACTAACGCTGCTGAAGAAGTACTTCATTGCAATACTTCTTGAAATTTAAACATTCTTCCATAAGATACTCACTGTTAGAATCAGCAAACTTCATGAGATCATATCGTTGTATAAATTATATAAAAAAAAAAAAAAAATAAGTTTTATAAAAAAATAAAAAAACTTACAAGATTCTCTCTGTCATTTCTGCCACATCCCACCTTGGACTCCATGGATAATCTTGTAAAATAGCTGACTTTATAGGTTCATTACCAGGGGGAGAGTGAAAATGCTTCAAAAAAAAATAAAAAATAAAAATAAAAATAAAAAACATGTCGATAATACATTCCTATTTTTAAAGGGATATGGAACCTGAGAACTTTGAAGAATGAGAGCAGGTTGTTGCCTAGGGAACTGAAGTGGAAGTGAGAAGTGCACCTATAAAAACATAAAATATGAAATTTATTTAAAAAAAATTATGACTTTATAAAATTATAACACCAGAAATTTTATAACTTTATAAAACTGTCAAAATTGATAATACCAGAAATGTGAATACGCCAGAGCAAGCTAGAAATGTTGCCTTCCTGCAAAATACCTGGTAAAACAAATATAAAATATAAGATTTTTAATCGAATAAAAAAAAGTTTATTAAATTCAAAATGAAAAAATTTACATACTGGATCAGCTTCTAGTGGCCTTCCAAAAGGAATAGCTAATGCTGTGATGAACTTTCTTCTAACTTCAATTGATGAAATAGCATCTCTTATCTATAAAATTAATAAAAAAAAAATTAAAAAAACAAAAACAAGTAATGAAAGTATGTTGATATTTCTTGAATGTACAATGCTGTAATAGAATTGGTAAATTGAAATAGAAGAGAATAAAATATTAACTTGCGATTGAAGAATCTCCTCTAAATTTGGAAGATATTCAGCCATGCACCTTTTAAACAAAATCAAAAAACAATATTTCAAATGTCTTAGCCTCTTAGGTGTTGTTTCTTTTTGGGTAAAATAGTCATTTAAGAAAATAGAAACATGGGCTTACATTCCTTCCAACCAAGGAGGAAGTCTGAAGTCATCAATGGAGAATAAAGTCTTCAACTCAGGGGTAGATACTAATTTTAAACGTGGAGCTGAAGTCATTGCTGAATACTTTCTACCCACAGGATATATAACCTGAATTGATTCAACACAAAAAGAGAAATGATAATAAAAATATATATATATATATATAAATATAAAAACATAAAAAAGATTTTACCTGTAAGTATATTTTCTGTTGATGACGCCAGGTGGACCCTGAAACCATTTTGTTCAAATCCATCTCCAACAAAGGCACTGCGAATTTTACCTCTTCTGGCTACACTACAGTTGAATGATAACATCATTACAAAGTTAAAAATTTTGATAATGAAATAAAAGTATATATAACTCATATGAAAATCAAAATACCTTGTCAAAACCAGAGCTCATATACATTTCGATTCCCTCTTGAGAATAAATGGTGTTGATTTCAAACTTTAGTCTTTCATCATCAACATTTCCAACACGTTTTTTCTGGTATGCCATGTATAAATTTCTGCAGTGGAGAAGATAATCATTTGCATATACTAAATGGGAAATTATCCATAATGCAAATACCTAAGTTCATGAATCAGAGACAATAGCTTAGTTGGATCTTTGCAATTCCAATCGGATAAACTGTTCTTGGGTTTCAGGTCTCCTTCTCCACCAGCGTGGTATGGTCTGAAGCTTTCATCTTCAGGTCCAAAAATGATATCTGGTGCCAACAATGGGAATTGTGCATTGTAGATAACATCCCCTGTAATTACAACACCAAATCTGAATACAAAATCCGCATGAATGTGAGGATATTTCTGATCACAAAACAAAACATGTTTTTTTCTGTTCTAAATGCAGAGGGTACATCAACGAGCAAAAGAATCGGTTTCTACTGAATAACAAATCAGTTGAAAATGCAAAAAGGAAACTAGTAAACTGACATTTGATGTAATCGAGACAAAAAGGAATTGCCAAGGTAAATCGATCAAGGAAACCAGGATTTTTGGAACCAGACCACATTTGCTCGACCTGCAGAAAACGAGACAAGAAATCAAATGAGAAACACGAACCTTTGATTCTGATTTAGGGTTTTTCAAGTTCAGTTGTAGAGCTTGATGTAACCCTAAATGCGGAAATCGCGTACCTTGATGGAGTGAGGAGAATGAGTGAGGAGGTAATTGAGTTGTGCGTAGATGATCGGAGGCATACTATCAACCGCCATGGTCTCCAGATGGTGTGTGATTTTGATCCGTCGTCGAATTCCACCGATCAATTTTGGGTTTAGCTCTGCTTCACCAGAGGAGCTTCAACGGTGTAATTAATCCACCGTATGACGTAATCGTAGAAAACCAAAAAAAAAAAAAAAAAAAAACGTGGTTTGATTTAAGAGCTGTTTGGTACTTTGTACTTTGTAGCCATCATTGGGAAATACGGGGTATAGTCCTTTTTTAGGATCTTTTTAAAATTTTGTCATGAAAAGAGACATTTACGTTTATAGACACGCATTCTGCGAAGGACCCTCTACAAAGCTCCATGGAAAGTGGTATTTTCGTAATTTCACTCCTCTCGACTTTGACAAAAATGGTCCCCCGATTCCTCTTCCACTTCGACAGTCTCTCCGCATCGATATGCCATTCTGATTTTCCGGCGAGAAGGAGTTTAAAGACGGCGACAACGACATCATTTTTCGGCCTAATCGATTTGAACCAGCAAAATCTGGCACCGATGGAGGGCAATTTCCCTAATATTTTCGCTGATAGATACGGCTTTCGGGTATATCACATTTCCCTCTTTGGATTAATGTCGTATCGTATTTATTTAAGATTCAAATGTTACGAAAATCCAATTCATAACCGTCAATACGTACAGATTTAGATTTGTTAGGTTTTAGGATTAACAAGCAATCAGATTTGGGAAGATCCATTCCGCGGAGGGGTATGTCACTCCGCATAGGGACCTCCGCGGATTGATGTATTGCCTCCGCAGAATGAACCAAAAAGAGGAAAATGTGTCTCAGCGGAGGTGTAGGTCACTCCGTAGAGGGGTCTCCGCGGAATGACCTGAAATTGTTTCCCCTCTTTTTTCCTACCCTTTTATATCAACTATTTATTATATAAAAAGTATGTTGCTATTTATATCATAAACCAAATTAGAAAAGTAATTTTGAAACCTTGTTTTTTATTTTTAATTATTAACGTTTTAAATTAAATGTGTATGTTTTGTAGCACGATTATCTCAATCAAAAAACATATTTAACTTTGAAATGCGTGGTAGGTACGATCATTTAATACCATTTTTTGCGACTAACACAATCACAACGAGTATTATTTGAAGCTTCGTCGTTTGGAATATTCATAGGAATGAATGTCCCCAAAGCCGGTCCAATGATTTTTCATGCCCAATAAAATAATGCCCCTATGCTACCAAATCACATATATAACAAAGATGTTCTTTAAGGTTGTTAAATGAATGTGTTGAATAAAAAATGATCATTTTAACTTTTCTTTTTACGACAAATCATCGAGAAGTTGAAAAAATCATAAAATTATATTTTTTTTTTATAATTCATGATATATCAAATAACTTGTTTAACAAATCACTCTTTTCAAAGAAGTCTTCTGTGTATCTTTTCCACATGCCCTTCAATCTTTGGCCTTTAACCTTGATGGAGAGATTGCAAATTCTATTTCCCTGCTATTTCAATGAGTTGTTTAAAAATTCTAAACTCATACTTCCAGTTTTGTATAGAGATTTGACTCAAACAAATAATTTTTAAAGCTGAAAATTGCATATTTGAATGAACCATAAGATTTGAAGTTCATAATATTAAAAATAAATCGGTTCAATACTTATAGAACAGATTTAATTAAAAAAAGCAAATTATACAAATCTTAATATGAAAAATGTCAAATCACCGATA